AATTCTCTACCAAGGCTAAAAAATGTTCTCTAGAGAACATTTTTGCAAAACATAAGCAAAGAGGTGCTCACAATCTGATTTAAATGTCAACTCTCTTCCCAAGGAAACAGAGTAAGTTAAAAGGAATAATCTAAGCCCTCTTGCTTCCTCTCCCTCTGAAGCTGTCTATTGTATAGAACATATAAATAAAAATCCTGGTGAAAAATTATCCCATACAGCCAGTGGAAAGAATGGCACATCCTCCGCCTGGAGTTCCTGTTGAGGTTCTTATATTCCCGGATAATAAGAATAACAAAAAAGACTGTTTGTCTTCAGTTCTACAGCTGTGTATTGTATTCAGTGCTTTGGGGATCTGTTATTCTCTACAACAAAGCTGACTTCACCTTCCTCCACAGCAGTCCGCCCCACCTGCATAGCTACTGTCCTCTAATGCCTCTACCAGACATTTCCTGTTTTCCATCTGTGCCCATTCTTCTTTATTGTACTGTAGGCAGTGCAGTTTTCCTTGTTTAATTCCATTTGTTCCAGTGCTGAGAATGAATTCACAGTCTTCTGAATCTTTAGGCAAGCACTGAACCCCTAAGCTACACTCCCAGCTTTTTATTGCCATTGCTTAAGTAGTCCTACATTCAATTGTATTATTCCTCATTTTCAAGGAAGGTATCTAATCTGGAATGCAAAAAGTATTCATTTCTTTCAGGTATAAAAATATGGGAACACAGATACAACATAAAAATAACCATACAGCCTCAAGTGTTCAGATAAAACTAACACATACGAGGGGCCGAAAAACATTGTGCTTGAAATATCTATATAGGAAGTGAAAAATATTTCAGTGTTTTATTTTTTACCTGGTGTATTTGGCATTTTTTCATCACTGTGACAAAATACATGAGACAAGTCAACTTAAAGGAGCAAAGGTTTATTTTGGCATGTGGTTTCAGACCGTAGTTGGCTGGCTGCATTGCTTTTTGGCCTGTGCGGAGGCAGAAACATCATGTCGTGTCAGGAAATGTGGTGGGGAGCAACACTGCTCACCTCATGGCCAGAAGGAAGGAAAAGGAAAGAGGGAAGAAGAGAGAGAGAGGGGAAGAGAGAGGGTAGAGGGTGGGGGGGGGAGGGGCCAAGGGGGAGAGCATACCTTCAAAAGGGTTCCCCCCAGTGAACTACCTCCTCCAGCGAGACCCCCAGCTCCTAGAATTTTGAAAATCCCTTAGTGCCAGCTAAGGGACCACACTTTCAACACATGAGCTTTTGGGGGATATACAGGGTCCAAACCCTAACACCCAGGTAATAGAATTTTCAATTGCTGATCAATGTTTGGAACCTGAGCACTCCTAGATTACTTTGCTTCTGCCTTAAGGACTCCACTCACATCCTTCCGGTGCTCAGACCAGAATGTGGGAGCCATCATGGGACACTTGCGTCCAATCTGTCATTGATCCCTTTAATTCCCTTCTTTTTTTTTTTTTTTTTTAGAAATTCATTTAGAACAACCATTTAGAACAATGTTTGCTCTATTACATGCCATTATCTTCAACAAAGTTGCTCAGTCCATTAGACATAAGAATGTAAGACTGATCAATGAAGCAAAGACAGTAACAAGTAAAAAAAAGAAATAAAAATAATTTTTAAGAAAGCATTGGAAATGATGCAGAGCTTCACCATTCCCTGCTCCTTCCTTATCTCAGTCTTCATGTTACCACCCCCTTTGCAGAGTCACCACTCATCAGGATACTCTTGTGACCAGGCTGATGAGACCAAATCCAAACCTTTCTCCTCTCGGGGCTATTGGCATCTCCTAAAGTTAAGATTTCATGTTGTGAATCCATTTCTTAAAATATTCGAGTGAATTTCTTTTTTATAATAGGACTGACAAGAAATATATCAGCGCCCCACTTTTCTTGTAATTTGGCAGAATCTCAAATCTACTTTCCTTAAAAGTGGTTCAACATTTATTCAATGAGTGGAGTGAGAAAGGGTTGATTTCAACAAAGGTTATTATCTCTTGTGCATAAAGTAACAAGGTGAACATCTACATTGGAATTTATTTCATTTTACAGTGTTCTTGTGTTTGACAAATTGTCTGCTACTTTTCTTCTTTTTGTTTTTTTTTTTTTTTTTGTTTTGTTTTTTTCTCTCTGTTACCAGGAATTGAACTCTTGGCCTTGTACTTGCGAGGCAGGTGCTGTGCCACTGAGCTAAATCCCCAGCCCCCTACTTTTCTTCTTTTTCTCCTTTTGTGAAGTCAGCTGGGTTGTCAGTGT